CATGGCACAGACTGGCTGTGGGGGATTCCGGGGGGTTTTGTCTTTGGTAAATACGTTTCCTGGGCCGACCCACACGCTGTGTACTATGTGGTTTGGGATGAGTGAATGTGCCGGTGGAAGCCTGTGACCGAACGACTGCGCAGCAGTTTCCCTGGCCTCAGTTTTCTCATCCACCGAAATGGGTGAGACCCAATGAGACTGTTGCCACCGGTGTCCTTTGCTATCTGAATCAGGGAGCTCTATGAAGAAACAGTCCTGAGAGTGGTGTGGCCATGCCCTGGCTCTGCCGCGACTCCCCGGCAGAGGGGCCCTGGCTGCCCCTCTCACCTTCGTGCACAGAGGGGCTGAGGGCAGGGCCTGGAGAGTGTCCCACTGGGGGAACGCGGTCTTGAATATCCTTACTCTTTCTATCCCTTGCTGTGCTCCAGCTGGCAATCCCAGCATCTCAGGCAGCGCGCCCAAGGGCTCTGGGTTTAGGGTACCTTACTCCACACACAATGCTGGTGGCGCCGACGGGGCGCCCGGGGAGGGGGGGGTGCTGTGGTTCTCTCTGCGTGTGGAAGCCCGGAGCCACAGGGGGAGCCACACTGCTTCCGACTGGGGAGACGCCACCAGGGGGCTTAACACTGGGCGGGACAGTTTTCCAGCCTCCCCTGGGGTCATGGTGCATGGCCCCTGGGGCTGCTGCAGCCCGCCCCCCGCCCCCCCCCTCCCCGGTCTGCCCAAGCTGGGGCCCCAGGAGCCCCGAGGCGCTGGCTTGAGGCCGCGCAGGGGGAGGGAACAGAGAGGGGGGAAGAGACGCCGGCGCCGGAGAAGCAGTCCATCCACAAGAGGGCGCAGTTTCACGTGTTTATTTTTGGCAGGAAGGAAATCATTGCAAACCTCTCGACGGACAAGGCTCGCCCCTGGAAACGTGCACATTCCACATGTATTTCCCAAGTAACGCTGGCTTGTTTATCACATTCAAATGTCCAACAGAAATCCACGACTACCCAGGCACCAGAATCTCCACTACGGGGGGGGGG